CTAATTTGTCATACATTGGTAGGTGTTGGAAAGTTTTTCACTTTAGCAATCTTTTCTTCATCAGGTTTTATTCCATCTTTTCTGACAATGTGTCCTAAAAATTTTAGTTCATTTAAGAAAAAGAAACATTTCTCTGTATTTAGTTTTAGGTTAGCTTTTCCTAAGGTTTTAAATACAGTTTGTAAATGTTGACAATGTTCTTCAAATGTTTTTGAGTAGATGGTAATATCATCCAAATATACAACAACAAACTTGTTGATAAATGGTCGTAGAATCTTGTCCATTAACCTTTGAAAAGTGACAGGTGTATTGCATAGTCCAAAGGGCATTACATTGAATTTATAGGTGCCTTGTCTAGTAATAAAAGCAGTTTTTTTTTTGTCAGCTTCATTTACAGCTACTTGCCAATATTCGCTAGCCAGATCTAAACTAGTAAACTATTGGGCTCCTTCAAAGACAGATAAGATTTCATTAATATTAGGAAGAGGATAAACATCTTTTTCTGTGACTGCATTTAATTTGCGATAGTCAATACAGAGTCTCTTTTTTCTATTTTTCTTAGGCACAATAACTACAGGTGAGGGCCATGGACTATATGATTCTTTAATAATTCCTCTTTTTTTCATTTCTTCAATTTCTTTTTTGAGAAATTCTTGATCATCTGGAAAAGCTCTATAGGCTCTTTGTTTAATTGGATGAGCATTTGGAGTATAAATTTCATAACAAACTTCATTAGTTTGACCTAGTTCTAAGGTTTGTCCTTCCTCAGATATGTTTTCTGCAAAAATATGATAGTTGTTAAGAAGAATTTTCTCTGCTATCTTTTTCTTAAAGTTGGTGAGAGAAGTGTTGACTTGTATAGTAGAAGGTTGAATCTCAACTTTAGCAGTAAGAGCAATATAGGCTGCTGGGTTCTTTTCAGTAATGCCTTCAGTCCAGGGATTATAGAATAAATCTTCATCTTCTTGTCCTCCTTCTTTAGTATAATAAGTTTCCATTTTATCATCTTGTTCAATTTCATCAATCTATTCATCTTCATCAGTAAATTCTTCAAATCTTTCAGGTACTGGCTCTTCACTTACATAAGTTGTATAGATAGTGGCTCTTTTTCCTAAGTATCTAATTTTTAAAGTATGATTATTGAAATCCAGGTTTGCTCTAGACTTATTGAACCAGTTAGATCCCAACAAAAGTGTCTCATCTTTTGACTCAATTACTTGTAAGTCAATAGAAATTGCAATGTTTTGGAGAGTAATCTTCACATCAGTAATAGAACCTAATGCTTTTTCTCTAGCTTCATTAGCTGTAATGATGATAGTTTTTGATTCTTGGTTGATTTTTAATCCAAGTCTTTTCATTAATTTAGCTGTAATTATGCTAACAGCAGCACCAGAATCATGGATAGCTACTACTGTCTGTCCTTTAATGTTTATATGACATCTCATTGCTACTGTCTTTCGTTTAGGTCCTAATTCTACATGGTTTGCTTTAGTAATAGGTGCATTACCTCTTTTTATGGTTTGGGCAAGATTTTTACATTGGTTAGGATATTGTAATAATTGTCCATAAGTAGCTTGAGCTTGTTTATTCAAGAAATCTTTGGAGATATCATAAGGTTCCAATTGGTCAATTATGGAAGGAAGTTTTTGATTTCTTTTCCTAGTAGTTTTAGAAGGTTTAAGAACTTCAATTGGTTCATCAATCATGTCTTTTAATTCAGGTTTATCAGAAAATACAGTTTTGTTTCTTAATCTAATTTCTTTTTGAGATTCTGATTTCTTTTGATTTTCTCTTTGAGCTTCTTTTTGTACTTTTCGA